TGGACTCACGAATCTGGTTAAGCCTTTGCTGTCTCTCTCACTCTCCTGATTGGCTAACACCGTGAGTAGATGTACTTGAGGCGTGCTGATAATCATGAAGCGGTCAAAATCAAACAGTTACTTGAAGTACATGTAAACGACATCACTATGAGACATCAAGACGGTCTGCGCTACACATATACCTCACCCATAAAACATCAGCTGTGAGTTCTTCGTCCAGTGATTAGCTGACTGGAAACTCGTAAGGTCCCAAGGCTATCCACACTAAACTCCAGTTTATAACTTCATAGTAATGTGATTTAAATGCACAGCTATCGGCATTATTTGATGGCAACGAGTGAAGTGTAGCCTTTTTCCATGTGTATTAAGCTGTTTTGCTGATGTCTGGAGGCATGCTGTCGTGGAAATAATTCAACACAGACTGTTGGATGCAGTGATGCAGTTACTTTAGTGGTATCGAAATAAGAATGTGGCGGATTTTGAAAGACTTCTTATCCCTATTATTACTGCTGATTTGTGCGCTACTTCCATGTACCATCAACAAGGTTAGTGCATGGAAAAGAACTTTTCGTAAAGTTTATTGTCAGTGGTGTAGCATTCACCTCACACTCGCATCAACAGGAAAGAGAGGATTGTTTTAACAAATAAACAATTGGCTGACAATCACATTCCACTCACGGGTTATCAGCTGACAATAAGTTGCAGGAACCACGAGGTTATTTTTCACTTCTTTTAGCTGCTTCGTAAGGAAGACCTGTGCATTTGGGATTGTTTACTGTGTCACTCAATCCCTCAATCTCCCATTCATTCCTCCCCTCCTAAGTGATTATTGCAGTGTTCGTATCACTGGTCATATCACCATCCACCTTACCCTCAGACGGTAGGCACTCGTACGAAAAGAGGTGAGGCTAGTCACTCAATTGCATAAAGTACTATTTTTGAATGTAAAGTAAGACTTACCCTAAAAGTGATTTATAAAAGGGAGGAAAAACCTGCTACCTCCTGCGCCTCCTCCACCAACTGTCAGCCAAAGAAATTAAAAAACCCTTGCTTGGGAGCCTCAGCAAACATACGTTATCATGACAATTTAATCATGAATACAAAATTAAAATCTACTAAGAAAAATGTCCCAAACTTGCCTTTTAGGCAGCTCAGAGATTTGCTGCCTTAAATGGGCCCAATAAATCTTTTTGCGGTTTACGCTCTTGATTAGTATGGTAAAACAACATTGTAATGTGCCTTTGTTGTTTTTTTAGGTAAGCAAAACTTTATCTTTTATGTTTTCAGGTTTTCAGAAGTATTTTAACCCTCGCGACCCGTAGTAAAAGAAAATAGATTCATGATTTAGTGAGGAGAGTAACTAATGAAGAGGTGATTTAAATCAGCCCTAAGCCTTAAGATAGAGCGGTTGAGATTTCCTGGTGGTCGTGTTCTATCGATACATTGTTTTCTCAAAGGGAACTAGTCAAATTCCAACATTCTACTTGAGTTGCTCTACTTTCTGTTGTTCAGTAGCGCAACCGGTTCATAGAGTTTAATGTAGATTTATAGTCACCAAAGGTCAATTTGAGATATTTACAAATGATTTTGTACCATGGAAAAAATGTTCCTTTAATTTTATGAATGTATGAAAGATTAGTTTTGTGTTCATAAAATGTGCAAAATTTAAAAAACTTTTATGACATCCTAGTGATGGGTGATACTCGCTACTTAATTGACAAAAAAGTAGTAACAGATTATCGATAATTTAAATTTTGCTATTACTTATTTTAACTGTTATGAAGAACCTTGATAAGAAAGGCCTTGGTAGAATAGGTGAAGAACAAAGACCTCGAAATCTTCGCATGGTACAATAGACGGAGGCTAACGCACCTTCCACAGCGAGGCCATATTGTCGCGTCTATGGAAGTGGAAGAAGGAGCAACTTCAGGCTATCAAATGCGTGCCCCACGAACAACGAATGGCATATGCGGTGCACTTCTTGTCGAACACCATCCATTCTCAATCACAATTTCCACATAAACAACTTCTGATGATTACAAATGTGGAAGGCACCACAGACATGCAATGCGAATGCATTCTCGAAGTGAGGCGGGAGAGGACAGACGAGTATCGTCAATGTCAAAACACTTGAGCACCGTACCATACTGCAGTGATGGATGATAGAGTGGAGTAATGGTAGGATGCATGGATAACCGTGGTGAACTGAGCAGCTACTGAGGTGGATTGAAGTCGATTCGTGGCCCTACATGATGTGGTGATTGGGAGGGTTGTTGTGCTGTGGAGGAGACAGTGTAGGCAGTAGTAGGTGATGAGTGTGTTGTGTTGCGATGGTCAATAGCCAGTGCCCATGTGGCAGACCACTCTGGTCTGGTGCAGTCCAGTTCAGTCTAATCCGGTCTGGTCCGGTGTGGTGGAATTCATTGCAGGTACTAGAGTCAAGTAGGTAGAAAGTAGTGTATAAGTGAGATTTGGAGAGAGGTGGTGTGATTGTTAACAAATGCGTCTCAGCTTCGGATACCTACTCGAGTAGGAGTCTCCGAGTGCGGTAGAATGTGGTGATGGATGAGAACCTCATTTATTGAGCAATAAAAGTGTGAAATTGACCAAACGTTTTATAGACGGTGGTAATTTGGTTGGTGACGATTTGTGCCCCTATATTTACTCTATGACCACCACATGGGTTACTCCCTGGAGAAGCGTTTAGACAGCGTGCTAAACCTCCGACCATCACGATCAGGGTGGAACTAGCATGTAAAGTATTTAGCTCCGTTTAAATGATAAACTGGAATATTTAAGGCAACCTACCTATTCAGAAAATAAAGACCTTTGTAAAAAATAAATGCAGATTCCACACCTTGCAAACAGTTCTTTTCCTTTTGAAACCTAAGAAGTACCGGCCTACTTTGTATATCCCTAATTTATAATTTTAACAGTTTGGCATATCAACTTAAAAATAAGCTTTTGGTGTTTTTGGGTTCATCCTTCTTCACAAAACCCATTGATTGTTAAAAATAATATAGGTGGTAACTAGTATATCAAGGAATTATAATTTTACTAGCTTCTTGAAGGCACCCATTAGTCTATCAACTTGCATCATCTACTGTCACACAATTTGGTGTATGTTTCGCCTATTTCAGGCGTCAATTAATTCAACTTTATCCAAATCACCCGCTGAAATGTGAGAGGGTCCAACTGATGTGTGTAGTTAATGACCATGAAGTCAAGTTGTAATGGCCTATGGACCATTAATAGTGCATTAAATTTGCCCCTGCCATGAATACAAAGGCAACTGGGCAGGTAGGGAAGCTTACTGCCAGTGTTAAAAATGTCAGAGGAGAAGGAGGCGAGTTAATGAATTCTCAAAGGGAGTTAACCAAATCTCGAGGATACAAATAAGTTAACATAACTGTGCTGGCTTAGTTAAAGTACAAATGTAGAGCATAGGTTGAGACTTCATTAGAATCGCATTATAAACGCAAAAAAAGGAGAATGATTCCAAGATTACGACTACAACTTGCAAAGATTGAGAAGCTCGCCTAGGTAAGTGTGTAACTTAAACAAACAAGTCCATGAAACACAATGGCCCTATGTTGAGGGTTTTACCCGGTGCTCCTTGTCAGTCATCACAACGCATTTCGTGGGTAATAAGACCACACTCGAACTAGGTGCCCAGATTATACATCATTTCTCCAGCAAGTGGGCAACGCGTCAAATGTCAAGCTCCGTAGTCCATCTACTTACCTCATGGCGAATCATTTCATCATGCGTCCACACTCTCTCGCTCTCTCTCTCTCTCTCTCTCTCTCTCTCTCTCTCTACCACATCTTGCCGCCGATTCATTCACTAACTTCCCGTTGATCAACATTTCATGCTATTCCACAACCAGTGCTTTTCAATGTCAGTCACTACTCATGAGAACCCGAGTCACAAATCTTAACAGCTGCGCAAAACGCCCCATTCCTTGTCATTTTTTCCATCCGGGTTTCATTCTCCCTACTATCAGTATTGTGACCGAGGTATCATTGATTCGCACATTGCCTACGATAGCTACATAGTGGCCGTTTTCATGTTGTTCACTTCAGCTCTCACGATCTAGATAACTGGGCAATTGACATGACCGCCGGTATTTGACATGGTCTTGACAGTCCTCCGCGATCCAGGCATCTCTAAAACGTGGCTTCTGTGACATCTGGATTTGATATCTCTCATCAAACCCGGGAATTCCGTATTTCTTGGCCCAGCCCTCAGTAACACTGCCACCAACGTAATTCCAGACAAAACATTTTGCGTATGTGTGGAGAGGAGCTGGTAAGGCATTACCAAAATGGGATGGACTCCCGAGTGATTTAATACTCTAGTTATTGGTATGTCGAAATACGCGTAACTCTTCTATACTCTCGGGTTACATTTATGGTGAAGGGCATGGGAGGGAGGGCCCTAACTACAGCCTTTCCGACCACCTTCACGATTATAATAGATCTTCTTCCGCAATAGTGTGTCTGGGATTGTTACAGTACAATGGGTTTGGCAAACAAGTTTCAGAGCTCCATGTAAAGCACCCTTTGCTGCTTGGCGTCCTTGCCGTCCTCCCGATAATAGTTCTCCTGCATAGTTTGCAACAGAATGACTCGTCATTAAACCGACGTCTAAATTCAGTAGTATTTTCGCTTCTACCATAATTCATTGAAAAGTGGTATTGTAAAAGTATATCACTAAAAGGAATTTTTGTAATAAATTAATGTAAATCACTTGTATTAGGAGCATTTTTCACGAAAATTCAAATGTTATTTACTGATAATCTCATAAATTAACCCCCCGGGTCATTAATTTACTCTTGATGACCATCCATTAATAGCTATCAGTCGTTCATTATTAAAGTTAATATTTGCAAAATAATCTTTTGTTGATCCATATATGCCTTATAAGGAGTCAAGATTAATGGACATTTCTTTCTGTACTACCAACACTTCTAATGCCCGAGTTACTTCTGGAAGTAATGTAAGACTTACGAGTCTGCAAGTAGTTTCGCTGGGGATTTGCTGAAAGTCCAGAAGACTTTAGCCTCTACTGCATCAGTGGAGTTCCCACAAGGTAATGACCCATTTCACAAGTGTCAAAGAGGCGTTAAGGGGAGTTTCAAATTCAGCGTCCTTGAAAGGTCAAGGGACACTTGTCAAGTGAGTCATATACAAGGCTGGTTCAAGTTAAGTAGCAGTAATTTCGCCTGGAAACATGCAAACATACTACCGTAGCAACTGAATCTCCTCCAAAAGTATGACCCTATGAACCGATACTTCCATACCATCACCAAGCAATTTTGTTCTACTGCTTTACCTTCGTCAGACTTTTAAGCGTCGGCCCTTGCAATCTATCAAGAGGCAGGAAGGCTTTCTGCTTCATTAGCCTGAAAATTTATTTGTATTCTAAGACAAAGTCATTTCCATCTAAGTACACTAAGCTGTGCCGATCATATAAAGAGGAGGATGACGAGAGCCAAGGGGATGCAAGGGACTATAAGACTGTTTTCCTACTTGAAGAGGAGCCAAGCGTTTGATCTGGGTGGGGCTTTACAACTGATGCATAAAATGCCAGTTGTGCTTTTAACGGAGATGATGCCAAGATGGTGCTCAAAACCTGTGGAGATTGAAGACCTCGGGCAGGCGAATGCACAACTATAAGAAAGTGTACCTTGTTATTGAGGGCTCCTTTGTCAGTGCTCTAGGAATTACTTACTAGTCAAAAATAAGGTCATGTTTATGGAACATATGTGCCTGGAATATGGAAGGTCGGGGATGCCATAAACATGGACGGATGAATGGTGAACAAGTTCACAGAGTAAGGGGTTTGAAAAGCCAAATGCCGCTGTGCTTGTGTGTAGTGGGATCTCGCGTAGTCCCCTTCATAAAGCTACATCAGTTTCTACTATTTGAGCACTTGAATTCCCCTTGAAGCCGCTACAAGACGTGGTAATCTAAAAATAACCTCCACCTAATGGGAAATAAATTCATGAAAGCTTTTACTTCAGACTTGGAAGTTGGTTGTATCCGAAAGTAGTGTGTCTATTTAGGCAACGCTTAAAACAGGAAGGGAGTTGCAAATCGTAGGAACATTTACCACCCCATGACATGGCAGCTGAGTAGTTATACAAACACCCGACTGTATTAACTAAGTCTCAATCAAAAGTATCACCCTAAGAACCGGCACTTCCATGCCATCACCATGCAATTTTATTCTACTGCTTTACCTTCGTATTGCTTTTAGGCTTTGCGAAACCCCTTTCTTTCAGTAGTTGCAATCTACTGAGAGACAGGAAAGCTTTCTGCTTTCTGGAGCACTCTTTGGACTCATACAAGAAGAAATCAAGACATTACGCCATAGTAACTGACCAATTGGGTACTTTGCAGACGACGTCAAAGATGGTGGTTAAGGTCAACGTAGAGTCTATGCTAGTCTAGCCCTATTAGAGATAATCAGCCCCCGAAACCCTTACAGTCGTTCTACTAGAGATGAAACTACTTCCTGTTGTCATGAATTTAACGTGCTCATTGCAAATGTCTCCTTATTTTGGCCAGAAATACAGGCACATCCAGCGTCACAAATACGTGACATATACTTTCTAAGTTTATGATAACAGATTGCATTTAATCTAATCACAATTTTACCATTTCTCTACCTGTACAGGGATCTCGATATTGCGAATAGTTGCATCTTTTTTCGTGTTTTTGAGTAGTATACCTTCAGGCGGCACACATAATTCGATATTTTGGTGATCCATCTGCTCCTCTAGATCCCGGTAGTTAACCAGAGGATGACTAGTAGCCTAAATTACGTGACTAACATGGGACCGGAAAACTCCGCACAGTCACTCAAACTACATAATTATTTAAGACTGAGCATCCAGAGAATTGGGCAGATTAGTAGCTTAAACAGTTCTGTACTAATTTAGTCCTTTGTTTAACTTTATTTCTCATTATCCGGGCCCGTCGGTAACTGCAGGTTGCAAGTCCACCCCACGATATGACCCTCCGGGCTTCAGGGTCTGTCGCCTTCAAGTAATGCCCTTGATCTACCTATTTCCAGACCAAAGTAAGGAAACCCATGGGGTGGTTTTATTAACAAATATAGCTAGATCTATGTTACAGATGGGGGAGAACGTCAAAGGCAGAAAAACGGAAATTGTTTATGCTTACTTATAAGAATCGGAAGCCCGAATAAAAGGTCACGCAGATATTTCTTGCCAATAAAAATCACATCGAGATGCGGCGGTTAAACGTCTGTACAAAGAGGCAGGTAAAATGAGATTGCACTTAGAGGAAGTTAGGAAGGCAACAAAGAAAGAAATTAAAGGAAAAAAAACACAGGTCAAACATAATGAGGCTGGGGAAAGATGTGAGAGGGTGAAGGAGCATCCCCATTCACGTCCCCTTCAATGATGATGGTGTGTGGGTGGCCCCGCAACGATGACTGATTGACCCGGGTGACCTTTATTGACTTTTGTCCCGAGGGTGGTTGCCCGTTTGCATTACGTACACTGACCGGAGTACAGGAGGTAGGCAACAAGGCATCGCGAGAACCCATTACTGGGGTGTGCTCATAGGAGCTTTGGATAGCACTTCGGGCAAATAACGGAGTCGGCGCCATTTCAGAAGATGCTGCATCTAAAAAAAGGAAAGAAAAATATACAAAAAATCCAAGAATCCTATTAAATGAAAATAAAATTCACGAGCAGTGTCTCAAAAGGTGGTGCGCACAAAATTCCTGTTTTTAAATCATAAAAGCACCCCGCTTTGTGCAAAATTCATCTTCATTTTATATCTTTTTTTTTCAAGCAATAAATTGTGGAAGAGCTTTCCCATACTCTAAGAATCCACTAATTAATGCTGTATTTTTGTTTGACTGAACTTAACATCAACTTTACTTCACTGATTTTTTGAGCTATAAAACCGTGGAACAGACATTTGTGCAATGGTTAAGGCAACCTTACAAAAAATATAAAACTCACGAGATATTAACCACGATCTGTTGATTTCTTTGAAAATAAAAGTAATGACAAATATAGGCTTTTATTTTGAGTATCACCTAATAGATGAAAAAATAGTTAGTCGAATGGAGCCACTAATTTCACCTTTGACTTGACAATTTATCTTCATCAGGATAAGTAATGTCACCAGTCATGGAATAGTGCGAGAGACGTGCTGCTAGACATCGCCTCTGGGAAGGTTCAACACCATTTTAGGGATCGAGAAAGAATTGTTACATTTAGACTATAAGATGAAAGAAGTACTTAGGGCATCGCCTGGGGTAGAAATGATGGGGCGATTAATCAAAAGAGAAGTTTTCATTTACCAAAGATGGTTAAAATTGTTGGTGTAGGCCAAGAAGGAACGACCAGTCAAGCATTATCCCAACAGAGAGTACTCTTACGGCAAAATTTACCGATCTGTCTTATGTGATTGTATCTTCATGTCAAAAGGCTTTGTCAGTCCTCTGTGTACTAGCAGACCGATGGACACGCGTCAACTGTGGCCACTTTCAGCTCATTTTTTAGGAATTAATAGACAGGGTTAAAAGGTTTTAAACCATCAAGAAGCGTGCCATGTCAACGGAGTGTTTCATACAGTTAGTACCATGATCTCAGGGGAAAGTGAATGGCTACAAACCCTGTGTTTTACTGATCAAGTGCGCAATCCTCTTCAGATAGAGAATTTCCCACGCCTCCTTCTTTAGGGTTGTAAACTCAACTAATTTGACTGTAACACGATACGATGCAGTCAGTTATCATGGGCCGATAAAAACCACATGTCACATATATGTGACGCGGGGGAAATCGGGAAGTCACGTGTAGAATCATTGTTATCCACCTTGCCTACCCTTCCAATTACCTATATTAAATCATTTTAAGAAAAAAACTTTCACTGGATGCTAGTCATTAGAAATGCCGCCTTGAAACAAGGAGAAAGGGTCGTGCCATCCCCTTATCTCTTAATAATTTTGTTGCAAGGGTACATTTCTTTGCCTATTTTCTTAAT